TATGGAAATTTATATTTTTTTCAACCCCTAAAGTATAGAGCCGACTAGCTATATTAAAGATTATTACTACAAATATAATTGTTTGTTGTGCTGTTTGCGTTCCATTATGACTTAAAATGAAATAAATGGAGTGGTATTCGGTGTCACAGTTCATTACATAATTTATAAAGCTATTAACGGCAATTACTGCAGATTTTACAGCTGCATAGGGACTTGAATAAATGTTTACTTGTAAAATATATAAGAAAATATAGTGCACTTAAAACAGGGTGTGCTAAAGGAATCAAACATTGATATGTTTGACAGGTATAGACTGGGATTTTTGAAACTGAAGTTATACTTCATTTGATATGCAATTAATAATAGAATATATTAAAACATGCTCTGTAAAACTCTAGACAAAGAAAAATACTAGACATATTTCTGAGTTTTAAATTTTCACTCTGTCTACAAATTAACAGAGGTAAGAATATTTAATAATCATTTTAATGTTACAGTTAATAATAGCATTGCCACGTCTTTAAAGGACCACTGCAGAAAAACTCATTTTCCTGGCACTATAGGGTCTTTGGGTCCCCCCCACCCTTAGGGTTCCCCTCCCGCTGGGCTGAAGGGGGAGGAAGGGGTTAAACTCTTACCTTTCTCCAGCACTGGGCTCCCTCGGCGCTGGGGATTCTCCTCCCTCTTCAGACGTCATCTGCTGAATGCGCATGCGCGGCAAGAGCATTCAGTCCGTCCATAGGAAAGCATTACTCAATGCTTTCCTATGGATGGCAGCGTCTTCTCACTGTGAAAATCACAGTGAGAAGCGCGGAAGCCCCTCTAGCGGCTGTCAATGAGACAGCCACTAGAGGCTGGATTAACCCTAATGTAAACATAGCAGAGAAAGTGTGTGAGTTGCCTTTGTTGGTATTGTTGTAACATTGTCTGTCGCTGCGATATTGGATTTCTCGGCAATGATTGTAATGTAAGGTAGTGTGTGGTTTGTAACGAAGCAAAAGAGGATTGGAATGCTCCTGGTGGGAATTGTGGGTTGCGGGTAATTAGGTATAGTGGGGATGGGTGAGGAGCTATATTTTGTGACACTCTAATTTTTTCCCATAGCTTAAGAGTTGGAATAATCATAGGATGATGGTTGTGTAGTGGTTTTAGGGATAGATTACCCTTTTTTTTGCCAAGGGATAGTATAGATAGGGTGTGTGAAGGCAGCGTTTTCTAATACTACCCATTGTGTGCTGTTTGTGGGTATTGTCCAATCATAGATTCTAGAAAGCATGGCCGCTTGATGGTAAAGTTCTATGTCTGGGAGACTTAGGTCTCCTTGGTGTTTGTGTGCTCTTAGCAGTTTAAATGGTAGTCGTGGGTGATTGTGGGACCAGACAAAGTGGGTGAATTGTTTTTTTAATTTCTGCGAAGAAGCTTGTTGGTATTGCTATAGGAATGGTTTGTAGGAGATATAGGAATTTAAGTAGTACATCTTCATCTTAATTATGTTTATATGACACAGCCATCCAAAGATAGGCTTGTGCCATCTCGTTAGGTCCTTTGAGATTGTTTGTAGAAGGGGAGGAATGTTTAGGTCATATAACTGGGTTAATCGTATAGGTAGGTGAATCCCTAAGTATTTAACTGCCTTAGATGCCCAGATAAACTGGTAAGAGTGTTGTAAAATATCTTTAGTGGATGTTGAAATGACTAAAGGTAGGATTTCGTTTTTAGTGAAGTTGACCTTAAAGTTTGAGAGGTGTTGGTGTAGGGAGATTTCCTTTAAGATTTGTGGCATGGAAGATTTTGGTTGTGTGAGAGTGAAAAGAAGGTCATCTGCAAATGCCGCCACTTTGTATTCTGTATCCTTCACTACTATGCCATGGACGGCTGTGTTGTCTCTAATGCCTTGGAGGAAGGGTTCCATGATTAAGACAAACAATAAAGGGGATAGGGGGCAGCCCTGTCTCGTGCCGTTGGAAATAGCAAGGGGTTCTGAAAGTTGACCATTGATCCTGATTCGTGCTCGGGGTTTGGAATATATGGATTTTAGCCACTGGGACCAGTTAGCGTTGAATCCCATGATCTTTAGTGTGGCAAATATCAGGGACCAGTCCACCCTATCAAATGCCTTTTCGGCATCTATTGATAAGAGTAGGCTTTCTGATTGTGATTGGTGTGCTAAATGCATTAGATTGATCAATTTTGTGGTGTTGTGTTTGGCTTCTCTTCCGGGGATGAAACCTGCTTGGTCGGGGTGGATCAGGTCTTGTAAGAGAGGACGTAATCTAGTGGCTAGGATTTTAGTGAAGAGTTTGAGGTCCGTAATGATTAATGAAATAGGGCGGTAGTTGCCGCATAGAGAAGTGACGTTACCTGGTTTGGGAACTAGGGTAATGTGTGCTTCTAGTGCTGCGTCTGGGAGGGTTGGGTTTGTGGTGAGGGAGTTGAATGCCTTAATGAATGGGTTGGCGAGTGTGTCTGAAAATATTTTGTAGTATTTGGCTGTGTATCCATCTGGGCCCGGACTTTTTCCAAGAGGGGATTGCTTGGTTGCTAATAAGAATTTGTCTGGTGTTATTGGTGATGCTAAGTGTTGTAATAGGTTTTGGGGTTTTGTTTGTTTTATTCGAGGGGTTAAGTAGTGTTCTAGTTCTAGAGCTGTTGGAGTGGATGATCGAATGTTGTAGAGTTCTGTGTAGAACCTCTGAAATTCATGTAGTATGTCTGTATGTGTGTCCTGATTGTGTTTTGATCTTGGATATAAATGTAGTTTGTCTAGTGTCTTTAAGTGAGTTAGCTAGGAGGTGTCCACATTTGCCTTCTTTGGAGTAGTAAGAGTATTTGGTGAATGTCATTTTTCATTTAATTTGGGTGTTCATCAGTTTTTGAAGTTCCGTTCTCTTGTCTGTTAAAAGTTTATATGTTTCTAGGGAGATATTTTGTTTGAGTGGTTTCTAGAGATCTAATTTCGGATATAAGAGCTTCAGCACGTTCTGTTTTTTTTTAAGTCTAGATGCTATCGCGATAAGGTGTCCCCTTATGACACACTTATGGGCTTCCCATGTTGTCATGGGGGATGTTGTGTGATCAGGATTTTTGTCAAAATATTGTTGTATCGTTTGGCGGATGAGTGTGATTGTGTTTGCGTCATTTAGGAGCAGGTCATTTAATTTCCATCGGAAGGAATATGGTGGGAGGTGGGGTATGGCAAGGGACAGGGGCGCATGGTCAGACCATTTAGGTCCATATTCGCATTTCTGAACTAGATGTAGATATTTGTGTTGAGTGAAGATCATGTCAATTCTGGAGTATGATTTTGTAGAGTGTGAATAGTATGAAAAGTCCCGGTGTGTGGGGTGTGTTGTGCGCCAGATATCGAATAGTCTTGCATCATCCAGACGCCTGGTTGAGGCTTGGTAGGTAGGTGCATTGGAGGTTGTGTCCAGGGTGGTGTCTAGTGATATGTTAATGTCGCCTCCCATTAGAAGAATACCTTCAGTGAATTGTTCCATTAGGTGAAAGTATTTTTTAAGTGCTTTCCCTTGTCTCCTGTTAGGTAGGTATAGGTTTACTAGTGTCACTATGTGGTGACCTATATGTCCTTTTACCATTAGCAGTCTCCCTGTGTCAGAGGTTTGGTGGGCTTTATACATGAAAGGGACTTTAGCTGAAATGAGTATGGCCACCCCTCGGGCTTTGGATTTTGTATAGTTACTGAAATAGCTTGTAGGGTAGTGTTTGTTCCGTAGTGTGGGGGGTGCGTCTGCCTTGAAGTGAGTTTATTGTAAGTAAGCTATGTCAGCTTTTAGTGTATGCAGTTCTGTAAGTACCTGAGTCCGCTTTGCAGGGATGTTGAGACCTCTCGTGTTTAAGGATATCAGTTGTATAGAGGCCATGTCTCTTGTTTATTGGTCGTTGTGATTACTGGTTCTTGTTGATAGCGGCTCAGAGCTCGGTGGTGGGAGAGGGGGAAGAAAAAGAAAGAAGGAAACAAAAACTTTATTTACAATCTTGTAGAAGATCAGTGTAACACTTAGGTTATATGTGATAAGGTAGATAAAAGTGTCTGTGACGGTTACTGTCCCCAGCAAGTAAAAAAGGTGTTGCCAGGGAGGTAAGTTCGCAACTGCACGTCTGGGCTCTAGGTCCAGTTAAAATTGCACAGATGACACAGAGTATTTTGTGTCACAGTGTGTGGTGGGGGTAGAGAGAAATGGTGGTTACCAACGCGTGAAGGTAGTGCACAGTATTTCGTCCGTCTTGAAAAGCAGTGTGGGGGGGGAAATACTTTTATATGAATAGATAGTGGGCTAGAATAAGAGTCGCCAGTTCCTGGAGGTGAAGGAGGGGAGGGGGTTTCTATGTGTGGAGCATATTCTCACGTTGCCCCATACTAGTAGGGTGCAGTCCAAAGTAGTATGTGTCATTATAAGAGGTGTCCAATATGAAAAATTTTACATTTTTGGGTTCCCACGTGTCAAGAAGGAGGGACCCTAAGAATCTGCCCTATAATTTATAAAGATGAATATGGTCATATGCTTCAGTATAAAGAACATGAGAGCATCATTAAAGAGTCTGTCAGAGGGTGGTGGTGGGGTGGGGGGGGACTTATGTAAGGGTATCATAGAACGTAGTCTTGCTTAGCCTTTTTTTTTTTTAAGAGGGGGAGGAAGTTAATACACGGGGAGCATAGTTGTATGTAGCCTTGAGACAGTGTATTACAGTTAATAGTGAGACATGGCATTAAACAAGATATTCAGGTCGATCACAGTTGCACTTATAAAATCTTACGTGACCCTTTATGTAGTAGATGCTTGTTGATGTGGATGTAAGCAGGAATGGTGACGGCATGTTGTAAATGGTCCATTTTGTATTTCACAGTCTATGAGGCATGTCCTGAATTTTAGGTAGGTGAGAAAGAAGTCTGAAGAGTAGTTTAGGTAATATAGGTAGAGATGTCGCGAACGGTTCGCCGCGGTTCGCCACGAACTGTTCGCGGCGAACTCCGGTCAGCTGACACATCCCGGCCAATCTCCACCAGACCCTCCCTCCCAGACCCTCCTACTTCCTGGACAGCATCCATGTTGAAGCTGCCTTCAACATGGATGCTGTCCAGGAAGTAGGAGGGTCTGGGAGGGAGGGTCTGCTGGAGATTGGCCAGGATGTGTCAGCTGACCGGAGTTCGCCACGAACAGTTGGTGGCGAACCGTTCGTGAGAAGTTCGCGGACGGTTCGCGACATCTCTAAATATAGGTAGTCCTGTTATGAGAGTTGGTTATCCATCGGTGTTTTCCTTGTGGAGGATTGTAGTCGTGGGAGTCAAAGTTCTTTTATTGTCCAGGTCTTATTTGCAGGGTCGAAGATATGCAGGCAATGGTAAGTCCATAAATTAGGTAGGGTAGGTTTTGGGGTATCTTGAACTGGTTTCTTTTTGGGGCTGTGTCCTTATCTGTTGGGTGCACGTTTTGGCAGATTTGGATTTTGTGGTGATTCTGCGGGTTTGTTTCTTCTTTTCCTGGCTGGTGTTTGCCATTGTTGACATTGTTGTTGTTGAGGAGGCTGAAATGTCATCTGCTGATTGATACCGTACCAGTTAGGGATTTGAATATCTGGTAGGTCTAAGGCCTGTGTGAATATACATATATCCAGGAGTGATGTGAGAGTATGAGTTCTACCGTTATGAGTCGCAATTAATGCAAAGGGGAAGCCCCATCTATCGCGTATGTTTCAGGTCCGAAGTGTTTCTGTACTTCTCAGTGTACATCGTGCCTGGAGCGTTTGCCAAGAGAGGTCTGGGAATATTTGTACAGGGTCATTGTGGTATAGTATAGGTTGGGAGGTTTGTCTTAGGGCGTGGAGTATTTCTTCTTTAAGGGAGTAGCAATGAATTCTACATACCACGTCTCTCGGTTGGTCTCTTTGTGACCCCCTGTGAGCTCTGTCTAGTATTAGGGGGGGTGTCTTCTGGTCTGCCCAATATTCGATTGAACATGTCAGTTAGTGTAGTTGTAAGGTCTTCCTGATCCTGTTCTGGGAGTCCTTTAATTCTCAGATTGTTCCTGTGCCCTCTGTTATCGACGTCATCCAACTGTCGGTATATCGCCGTTAAGTGTGCATTGTGTGAAGAGGCGGTTTCTTGGAGGCTTATTATTTGTGAGTTTAGGACATCCCTGTCATCTTCTAGGACTTATACTTTTTCGCCTATTTGACGAATGTCGGTCCCCAGTGACGCCATTTTGGCCTGGAAAGAAACTTCCAGTTTTCCCAACATTGAGGCTATATCACCTTTGGAAGGTAGGTTTTTGATTACCTCTTTGAGGTCATTGTTTGTTGGGCACACTGATCCCTCAGAGCCCTCTGGGCTGGATGGAACAAAACTATCTTGTGAGGATTCTGTCGCCATGTTGGGGCCTAGCGCACCCGTCTGATGGTCGGAGTGGTCTCGGAAAAATTTTGTTAGTGCTCCAGATTTCCCTATCGGGTGTTTGGAGGTTGTTTGCTGGCTGGATGTTGACCTTTTGGAGTGTCCCATTTTGTTTTTGCAGCTAGATGGAGACGGATTTCCCCCTTAGTCAGACGGAGCTGTATCAATGTGCGTCCATTTACTTGCACGGTTGGCTCCGCCCCTTTGTGACACTATTTATGTGATGCAATAAAATAAGGATAATATCTATGCATTTTTATTCTCTTGTATCATCACTTAAAATTCACAGATTTTACTATTAACATGACGTAAAGTCATGATTTTATTAACGACATGGAGGCTCTTATTATGCTGCACTCTTTCATTATTTCCCTCAGCAGCAAAGAAAAATAAAACATTCAAATGGTATGATAACAATACATAACATGAGAGGTATATCTTCTTAGCGACAAGAACAGCCAATCAGATTCCACTCTCCGAACAAGGACAAACGTGTCACAGAACAGGGAAACCCCAACAAGAAGAGCATGCCAGTAAAGGTGCAATGTCAAATCAAACTGGAAGAGAGAGGAGAAATATGGTAATATCCAAGTATAAAACTGGATGTATCCATAAATCATACTATCTGTCATCGAGTATAAATGTACGATAATAATTAGGAGTAGTCTAAACTGAACTCTGTACACTTTGAAAGTGGATAACACTATACTCAAAGACTTACCGTGAAGTCAACTTACCCATATCCACTCAATCCTCGGGTGTGAGGGAAGGATAATACTCGCCTCTGTGTCGTTAATAAAATCATCACTTTACGTCATGTTAATAGTAAAATCTGTGAATTTTATTAAGACACGGAGGCTCCTATTATGCTGGTTTAAAGCTGGGAAACTACAGTCCCTGCAAAGTGTTCAATAGGCCTAAGATAAAAGTCACGGGAAGTCGGCTCAGAAGACCAGTCGGCCGCTTTCAAATGTCCTCTAGACGGCTACCAGTCGAGGAGACCTTAGAGGCCATCGCCCCTTGAACCGAGTGAGGCGAAAATAGGGAAGTATTAATACCAGCCAAAGACATGATCCATTTGACCCAACGAGCCAGGGTAGCTGTAGACACTGGCAGATGCGGTTTCTGGAAGGAAACGAAGAGTTAAAATTTCGATGGGTTTCATAGTGAAGAGGTGTGAAGTTGATATGTTCTCAGGCATGTGACCGGACATAAGAGTGGTCTGTCAGGGAAAGATGGATATAAAATTCTTCAAGGAATTTTTAGTTCTCTGAGATATATCGAAAAAGACAACTTCCGGAGTATATGAGCAAGCAGTAATATCAAGAGTTCTGACATCAGAAACCCTCTTGCAGATATTATACAAAGAAGCATGAATAGTTTCGCTGATAGTGGTTTCAGAGATAGTGAGGCATTAGTCGGCTAGGATTTGAAGAATTTGAGGATGATAGAAACGTCTCATAGAACCGAATAATACGGTAAAGTGGACGAGCAAATCCTATTCCGCTGAGGAGTCTACAGACCATAGGTTGTCGGCCTAACGGGGCTCCATCCAAACCTTGGGGTCCAGCAGATATAGAAGAACATCATAGATTAATTGTGCGATAGGCCTTACCCTCATCGAAGAGTAAGGTGAGGAATTGGAGGGTCAAAGTCAGAGCCAATACAGGATCCATGTTTCGTTCCAGGCATCAACCGTGCCATATGCTCCTAGTAGACTTATAAGCCTGTCTCGTGCCGGATGCCCACGCGCCCTTGAGAAGATGGATAGTTGATTCCAAAACTCCCTCGATTGACCAAGGTCCCCTAAAATCAGCCACACCATGAGCTGTAGAAGGTCTTGGAGAACCAGGGGATGGGACATTCTGTCTGGATCATGAAGGAGGCAGTCGAGTGATGGTGGAAGATATGGTAAGTCGATTGCCATCTCTAGAAGCGGAGGAAACCATGATTGGGACAGCCACAAGGGTGTCACAATCACCAGAGTCTCAGATTGGCATTGTAGTTGCAGAGGGCAACCCAATAATGGGTGAAAGCATTCATTGTTATTGCTGTTGGGTTTGGTCTCCAACTGAAGAACCTGGAAAGCTGTGTACTCAAGCGGGTAGTGAAAGGGTCTATGTCCAGTGGGCTCCATAAATGTTGGATGTCCTGGAAGACTCTTGAATCTAGATGCCAGTTGCTGGAATCTCTGAGGTGTCAGGAATACCAATCCGGTATACCAGAACTGCCAAAATCCTGTGCCCTGTTTGCCAGGACTTTTAATTTCGTACCTCCTAGATGATTAATGTAACGGACAGCTGATATATTGTCCATCTTGAGTTAAGGAGAAGCTGTGGATTGCGACTGACCCGACCAGGAGTTCCAGAGAGTTGATATGAAGAGCCGATTCATAAACGGACCATCTGCCACCAGTAGAGACATCTCTACAATGAGTACCCCAACCCTGTAAGCTCGTGTCAGGTTCATTACCAAATCTGGTGCTGCACGGAAGATGGCGCGACCGTTCCATCCTTCCACATGAGGAAGTCACCAATTCAGTTTGTTTTCGCTTCTGAGTTCAGAATAACCATATCTGTGTAGGATGCTCCTTCCCTCAGATGGGAAGTCTGTAAATGCTATAGGGCTCGATAGTGAAGAGGGCTTGTATGGAAGCAGCCAGGAGACCGATCATTCTCGCCAATTGTTTGAGAGTAAGTTGGGGGCCGCCAGTGTGCGCCTGAGTTCTTTCTGGATATTGGACTGTTTTGACATCGGAAGATGCAGGGTCTGAAGAGTAAAATCTATGGTGGGACCCTGAAATTCTATGCGTTGTGTAGGAGTCACGATGGATTTTCCCAGTTAATTAGGAGGCCTAGATTCTGTAACAGAGACAGTCCAGTTCAGATTAGGTTTGAGGAGTTGAATAGACTGAGCCATGAGAAGGATGTTGTCTATGTATATTATCAAACGTATTTCTCGACTTCGTAACAGCGCAATCACAGGCTTCATGAGTTTGGTGAAGCACCATGGGGCTGAAGACAGCCCGAATGGGAGGCACTTTGACATCCATTTCTTTCCCTGCCAGATGAACTGCAGGCTATTTAGGTGTTGTAATGCTATAGGCACTGCGAGGTAGGCATCCTGTAGATCCAACTTTGCCATCCAATCTGATGGTTGGAGAAAATCACGCAAACAGCGTATAACTTCCATCTGAAAGTGGTAATAGGTTACGTAAGTGTTGAGCTGTCTTGAGTTCATCACTGGGCGGACACCTCCACCTTTTTTGTCAACCAGGAAGAGGTTGCTCACATAACCCAGAGTGGACATTGGAATTTGTATGATGGCTTGTCTGCTCATCAGATCCAATATTTTCTTGGTGACAAGGTCTGCATCTCGTCTAAATTAGTCTGCCACCCACTACCAATAGGGAAGAATGTAGATTGAGAGGACTTACCATAGATCGTGGTCCACGGGCAACCCAGGGTCAACCATGTTGTGGAAAGAAGGCCGGTGTATTGTGGTGTTCCAGGAAACTGGCTCACCCTGTATAGGAGCCTTGGTTCTGTTTAAACTAACTTCTGATAATACGACTGGATACACAGCTCCTAGCTCTTCCGGCTCCACCAAAAACCCTAGGGTTAAATACTTTGCACATAATTGATTGCGCTTGTCTTGGGAAGTAAACGTGTGTGAAAGACCAGTGGCTTGAGTGCCCGGCTCATTCAGAGCCATGTCGACCAATTAGGTTACATTTTTTTTAAAGAATAGGTTTGCCACGCTCTGTGGCCATCGCTGTATTGACATTGTCAATTAGGCAAATTACCCTTTGAATCCAACCACTTATGGTGGCACAATCTAGTTCTCGGTCATCTATGACCACTTAAAATCTTGGCTGCCGGGCCCAAGATATCCAGGACCTTATCCTGGCATTTCTGTAAAGAGGAATTTAGACTCTTATTGGATTTTCCACCCTTCTTTCCCAGGAATTGTATTATTTTTGGATCAACTGCAGGTGTTCTGCAAGCGTCCTCTGGGACCATAGGGCATGGGCATTCTGCCCTCAATTTGTTTCTGGTCGTCATATCCAAAGGCTTACGTACTAGTGATGATATATATATATATATATATATATATACACAGACATCTATATCTACGTGGTCTGAGGTAGACGATTCAGCTGGACGTGGGTGGCGCAGCTCATCAGGGTTGAATAGGGCTTCTCCATGGGGATCTAAACTTACCTGTGTCCCCTGAATCCCCATGCTCAAAATAAATTTTAGTAGATTACACCACTAACAGTGTTCTGGGAAGAGTCAGATCCCTCGACACCAAAGTCAGAACGAGGATCCGATGGATCTTCTGAATTGTCCATATAGGACTCCTCCTCAATATCACTGAGATATGACTCAGAATCTAATTGGGCTTTTGCCCTCTTCCATAATCTAGCCGATTTTGCCTGGTTAGTGGCTCTTTCGCACGGTGGCAGAATAGTCGCACCATCTGTGACAGGAGTAATGCTGTCCATCTTAGACATTGCACAGGCCCTACAACTGACACAGAGATCGGCTCATCCGACCATTACTCAGGCATTGCCTTTAAAGACTCCTGCACAGCCTCATTCTGGCCGCAAATCTCTCACTAAAACTAAACACTTCTCTTTAGTCTTAGTGAGAGATTTGCCTGCCTGTGCAAATGTCTGTGACAGAGAGCCAGACATTACCCCCATAGCAAATATCAGAGCCTTAGTCATGGCTTTCGACATTGAATTTTATAACATGACAGGAGGCTTCATATTTGCTTAAGTCTCTCTTTACTAGAACTCCACAGCAGCACATTAACATAGAGAGAAAAACACCAGAGACAAAAAACTCAGGAATCCATAAAAGGCTTCTCCCAACCAACTAATCCTGCTTACTTTGCTGCTAGCAGACAGTACAGGTCAGAATACCACTGCCTCCTGTTTTATATGGGTGGTTGTAGGATATATACTTTTACTTGTATATGATCTTATGATTTATTTTAAAGATTTGATTGTATGATTTAATTTTCATGCTTTGATTGTATGATTTAGTTTTCATGATTTGATTTTGGGATTTGATTGTTTTACTTGCTTTTCGGATTTAATTTTAGGATTTGAGGTTAATGATTTAATTGTATGATTTAAATTCCATGATTTGATTGTATGATTTGATTTTCATGATTTGATAGTGTGTGTTGATTTGGGGATTTATTTTATGAGGTGATGTCATCTATTGTGCCTTTTGCAGGTGTTTTCTTCTGGCCTGCTCTTTCTACAAACTCCCCTTTTTGGGGTCTGTATGGGTGCCTTCCTCCACCCTTCTCCCTCTATTTTTCCCTGCTCTCCTTGCGGGCATTTTACTTTTGTTTTCTTTCGGTTCTTTCTGGTTTCCTTCTGTTTTCTTCCTGTTGTATTTCTGTTTTCCTAGCGGCCGGCTGTTAGTGGTTCAGTACCACCTCCCGTCCTGTCCAGCCGCCGGGACCACGGAGAATGACTCCGGTGGTCCCACGTGGGTATCTACGTGGGAACTGCCCCTCTGCCTGTCTCCTTCCCACGCTCCCCGTACCGCTGGGAAGCAGTTATCTTTCGCGGCCGCAGGTGGCGTGGGAGGGATGATAGGCCACGTGGAAGTGATGGCTCCCGGCCACGTGGGAGCGACGGCTCCCGGCCACATGGGAGCAACAGCTCCCGGCCACGTGGGAGCGACGGCTCCCTGCCACGTGGGAGCAACGGCTCCCGACCTCGTTTGGCCTCCCCACACTGCAGGGCCCTCGGTCTGGGCGCCGGTGGGGAGGCAGGTTGTAAGAGTTTGCCTTTTGTAAATTCTAATGTAACTACTATAAATATATTTCTGGAGTGTTAGGTGTGAGCCCTTTAGAGTAGGCACTTCATCTTTTCAACCTCACTTTCTCTGTTTTCCCACGGAAAGCTGTTTCTTTCATTCGCTGTTACAGAAGAGTTGGTTACAGTTCACATAGAGTGTTAGGCACTATTCATCGGAAGAGCGTTATCTACACAGTAGAATGCTATCTACAACTACACAGTAGAATGTTGTGTACAGTTACACAGAAGAATGCTATGTTCAGTTACACAGAAGAATGCTATGTTCAGTTACACAGAAGCATGCTATGTACAGTTACACAGAAACATGCTATGTGCAGTTACACAGTAGAATGCTATGTGCAGTTACGTAGAAGAATGCTATGTACAGTTGCACAGAAGAATGTTATGTACAGTTACACAGTAGCATGCTATGTGCAGTTACGCAGAAGCTATGTGCTATGTGCAGTTACGCAGAAGAATGCTATGTGCAGTTACGCAGAAGAATGCTATGTACAATTACACTGTAGAAAGTTATGTACGGTCAAACAGAAGAATGCTATGTACAACTGCACAGAAGAGCAATATGTACAGTTACGCAGAAGCATGTTCTGTTCAGCTACACGGAAGAGCGTTATGTACAGTTACACAGAAGAATGTTATGTACAGTGACACTGAAGAGCGTTATGTACAGTTACACAGAAAAGTGTTGACTACAGTTACACAGGAGAGTGTTATGTGCCATTAATCTAAAGAAGTGTTAGGTACATCTTCTCCAAAGAGTGAATTGTACAAGTAATCAGAAGAATGGAAGGGCAGTTTATCGCCTGTGCACCCCCGTAGGGTCTGACTTGTCTGTGCCCCAGGATTTGGCCGGCTTTGTCGGAGCCGTATTGATTGGCCTGCTTTGTCTGTGCCCCATTGATTGGCCTGCTTTGTCTGTGCCCCATTGATCTGGCCTGCTTTGTCTGTGCCCCATTGATCTGGCCTGCATTGTCTGTGCCCCATTGATCTGGCCTGCATGCTGCCGGTGACACTTGTCCGTTATACCCCTAGAGGTCACCTTGCCTAGGACCGCTCCACGGTCAACCCTTCATTCAGGGGAATGCACACAGGCGATGCCTACTACGGCAGCGACCATCTTCTAAAGAAGGCGGGAGACTTGAAGGAGTCAGACCCTCCTGAGGAGGGCAGGCAAGCACGCATAAGCGCTACTAAAAGGGTGAAGGCCCTAAACCAGACGCCCAGAAGATGGACTCCGGAGTAGCGTCTAACCCTGATGCAATCGGGCTGGATGGAACTGCCTATATGGTGCAAGGGAGGCGGTGCCTTCGGACGCGGCAGTGACCACCTTTTTAATAAAGACAGATGACTTGAATGAGTCAGGCTCTCCTAGAGGAGAGCAGGCAAGTGCGCACAAGCGCTACTGGAGGGGTGAAGGCCCTAAACCAGGTGCCCACACAGATTAGACTCCGGAGAATCGTCTAACCCCGATACGATCGGCCTCGGTGGCCAAACTACACTGCCTTGGTGGCGCAGGGGTGATAGTCCTTGTGACCCCACCCCCACCACGTCCTCCCTAGCTGAATTGCGGGTGGACCGGTCCCTCTTGGAAGGAGAGGGTGATGGGGGGTGGACTATGATGATGCCCCCAAGTGGCACAGCGGGACAGAGAACAAGCCCACTACAGGAGCTCCGACAACTGTGGAAGAAGAGGTCGTCTCTTGGGTCACCTTAAATGAACCCCTGTTCGACCCTCGACCAATTGCTCATTTCTTCAGAAGGGTCTCGGCCCGGGCACCTTGCACCATCGGTGCGTTGCTGGAACCGTAGATCGCTGACTTGAGAAGCACGCAAGATACTTGGAGTGGTATACCCAGCCGGGCTCCCGAACAAAGGAGCCTCGTACCCAGACTTAGACCCCGATGGGGCACTACGGCTCTCCTGGTGGCAACGCCTGTCTAGTATACAGGAGATCCGGAGTATGGCCCACTGTGGTGCCTATGCTCTACTTTTCAGTCCACACTGACAAGCCAAGGGTTCTCCCCCACATGAGTGGGTTGTCCTACGGGACATACGGGGAAGAATATTGGGTTCCAGTTTTTCATATGAAAAAACGTTACGGAGACATATCTAAAGCCAACCCATACCTGTTATAAGGGATTGGACTTTGGGCCCGGAATGTCAGTTGCCTCCACCTTCGGATGACATAACAGACGGGACCCCGAACCTGGGGATTGCAGGAGACCCTATCTTAGTCAATTCGGACCACTGAAGGTGCTTGGGATCAAGGGATCTGAGGCCTTTGAAGCCCGCACGAGACTACGCTTGAAGGTATAGCCATTAGTTACTTTGAATTAGACACGGTCCTCAGGGAACTTCCAGGACCGTGGGGCCCATTCCTGGTATGGCGGGCTCAAATTTCTCCCTGGCGAGATAAGGACCTGGGGCGTCATTCATTTGGATGAGAATACAGCCTGGCTGGCAGGTTTGGAGGAATTTAGGACATTCAAGCATACATGAACTATCTGAAGAGATCCTTCTCGTTTTTTCCACAAAGACATTTCGCGGAACGGTCTACCGGGATGGGCTGGCTGGATCCTCGGCGAGTTGCCCCCCAGATCGAAGGGACAGATGCTTTCTGCGTTTTCCTTGTTTGGGTCCCTGGAGTTCGTGTTCAAATGAGGAATATTGACCCCCTCTGCGGCTCGAGGTGTAGAGTCCTGGAGGGCAGATCGTACCTCCTACGTTTTCCCCCTATCGAGTTTCTCATACGATTGGAATAATTTTCCGGAAAGACCAGGCGTCAAGACCTTAGCCCACGGAGGAGGACCCATTAAGCCCCGTCCAGTTTCAGCCGGCATACAGACCGGTTTGCTCAGTGATAGACGTTTCCTTCCAGGGGTATTCGACACGGAGAAGGACCTTACTACAAGTGTCTCGGTCTGCTGGTACCTTGGTTTTATGACCTTCGCTTCGGCCAAGTCGAGACTAGTGCCCTGATCCCCTGGACCTGTCCCACTTGATCTCGGGGACCATAAGACGTTTACCTGCATGGCGACCCTGACGGAGTTTGGTCTGGTATGGATTAACAGAAATTTTGTAAACACTGTTACAGGGTTTGATTATTGTTTGGTTGTTTTATTGACTGGGGACTGTCGTATCACTTAGATTAGGTAGGGCGTACGACGTGCGGGTTCATAGAGGTGTGAGTCTTCTCGATTCCCGAGGACGGGTATTCATTTCCCCAAGGGGTACACGCGTTGTTTGTCATGCCTCAATCGCCGTTTTTTGTTGTTGTTTTTTGTCCATCTCCGACTCTGGATTTGTTCCCCCTATCATACCCTTTTTTCTTCTTTCAGATGAGTTTGGACGTTCAGACCTTAGTTGTCTATCGGCTCTAATCAGACCCAAGGGTTATACTCTTGTCTTGGTTGCGCGCCCCTCTTTTTTATGTTGCGGTCGACACCACTGTTTGTTTAGATGGATCTTTTCCTTTTCTTCACCCTTCATGTACCGCCCGGTGGTTGTTGACATTGGCGGGGTGTATAGGTCTTTCGGTTCATTTCAGACGGTACTCGGTGACTTCAAGCGCCGTCATGGCGGGCCTTTTTCTCCAGGACATTGTACACTTTCCTACCAGTTACAGGAACTATTTTCGCTAAGTTAGGTTGGTACGGCGGATCGTGTTTCTTTGGGCTTTGCTGTCCAAGCATTAAAACAGCAAATATGAAGCCTCCTGTCATGTTATAAAATTGCAGATTATACTAGCTTTAGTGTAACTATAATCTTAATTTTATCAATGACAGGAGGAGAATATTTCCCTCCCAGTTTCTCCCTTCCCTGGTTTGTTGGTTGGTTTGACTGACTTTTGTTTATTCCTGGTCCCCTGGGCTAGGTTTGTTAATCTGGGGGAGTTGGGGTTTATCTGGGATATGGTACCGTCAGTATGTTATGATGGGGATTCATATTTGCTCAGTATCTGGGATATTATACTGTCAGTATTGACGATGGGGATTCAAGTTTTTCTCAGTACATTTCATTCGCTAATCAGTGTTTTCAACTCTGTTTATCTCATTTCAGTTTAATGATTCAGCTACAGTTCTTAGATCCGACTACTCTACAGGACAAAGGTCAAGGCTTCATCCACTGATTCCACGTTTCCAATTTCGGATGGCATTCATTGTTATCTTATGTTGTTTCTCTTGTTATTGTATTTGTGGTGTATCATTCATGTACTTTTGTCGCAGCGTGAAAGAGGAATTAGTTGGTTGGGAGAAGCCTTTTACGGATTCCTGAGTTTTTTGTCTCTGGTGTTTTTCTCTCTATGTTAATGTGCTGCTGTGGAGTTCTAGTAAAGAGAGACAAATATTCGCCTCCTGTCATTAATAAAATTAAGATTATAGTTATACTAAAGCTAGTATAATCTGCAATTATCAATAAAAGCCTGAATTTCAGCAGCAGCATCAAAGTCAGCGTGGAATTCCACTCCATCTCCAGAGGTACCTGGAAATGTATCAACAGCAACCATAATGGGTTAAATAGACCGAGAGGATGCTGATGATACTTTGTCAGACTGCATTTTAAATAAGAACTGATAATTTATAGTAAGTGTAAACCCTAAGCAAAAAATAAATTAACCCAAATAGAAGATCTAGGGTAAAAGTTGAATACAAAATAAATTTATTCACAAACACCGGAGCCACCCGAACGTCACTAAAACTAAATCCCAACTCCGAGTCCCGGCCACTGGGGGCAGTACTAGCGAACAAAACGCAGGGAAAAAAAACAAGAAAATGGCTCTGCAAACAAAAATGTTGCTGCGAACAGCAAACTCACATGAACAGTGTTCGTGGAAACGAACGCAAGTCTAGTGAGTGTTCGTGGCGAAAAAACAAAATACATATAAGGCACTAAGTGTGTTCGCTGGAAAAAACTCCTGAACGTTCTAACTGAATGAAACACACGTACGGGCGTTCGAATCCAGTGAATGGCAGTTGGAACAGTAAAAAGGCTTACAAAAAATGGCGCGAAAGCGCTGAACAGGGAACAGATAGTCCCTGAAGACGTTCCTGAGCCCTATTTATAAAACTGGGCTCAGAGAGGTCCCAGAACACAAGCTATACACAAATAGCTAAATCAAATTTAAATAAAACAATATAAATCAAGAAATCAATAAATATACCAAGAATAAACTAATGTATAACACTGTAAAAATATACCAACAATAAACTAATGTATTAATACTATAGAATTAAGTAACAGTATAATTAAATACATCAACTATATTATCAAATATTACATTTAAAAGATTTAACCCCTTAAGGACTGGACTGTTTTTGCGATGTTGTACATTTGCGACCAGGCCTCTTTTTACACTTTTGTGGTGTTTGTGTTTAGCTGTAATTTTCTGCTCTCTCATTTACTGTTCCTATGCAAATTATACATATTTTTTTTCAGGACAAAAGGGGCTTTCTTTACATACCATTATTTATATAATCTCATGTAAATTTAATTTAAAAAAAATAAAAAAAAATTATGAAAAATTGAAAAAAATATATGTTTTTAGAGATGTCGCGAACCGTCCGCGAACTTTTCGCGAACGGTTCGCCACGGTTCGCCACGAACTGTTTGCGGCGAACTCCGGTCAGCTGACACATCCCGGGCAATCTCCAGCAGACCCTCCCTCCCAGACCCTCCTACTTCCTGGACAGCATCCATGTTGAAGCTGCCTTCAACATGGATGCTGTCCAGGAAGTAGGAGGGTCTGGGAGGGAGGGTCTGCTGGAGATTGGCCGGGATGTGTCAGCTGACCGGAGTTCGCCGCGAACCGTGGCGAACCATTCGCGAGAAGTTTGCGGACGGTTCGCGACATCTCTAATGTTTTTTTACTTTTACTTGAAAAATCTCTTACTCATCTACAAAAGCAATGAAAAAAACTGCTAAATAGATTCAAAATTTTGTCCTGAGTTTAAAAATACCCAGTGTTCACATGCTTTTCTGCTTTTTTTTTTGCAAGTTATAGGGCTATAGGTACAAGTAGAGAACTTCTCGCGAACGGTTCGCCACGATTCGCCACGAACCATTCGTGGCAAACTCCAGTCAGCTGACACATCCCGGCCAATCTCCAGCAGACCCTCCCACCCATACCCTCCCACCTCCTGGACAGCATCCATGTTGAAGCCGCCTTCAACATGGATGCTGTCCAGGAAGTAGGAGGGTCTAGGAGGGAGGGTTGGTCGGGATGTGTCAGCTGACCAGAGTTCGCCACGAATGGTTCGTGGCGAACCGCGGCGAACCGTACAAGTAGGATATTGCGGTTTTAAAACATACATTTTTAAAATTTATCAATAGTGACATTGTAACACTATTATCTGTCATTATTCTCTGAATAACACCCCACATGTACATATTTTTTTTTAACGTAGACAACCCAGGGTATTCCATATGGGGTATGTCCAGTCTTTTTTAGTAGCCACTTAGTCGAAAACACTGGCCAAAGTTAGCATTCATATTTGCTTGTGTGTGAAAGAAGTAAAAAACTAAATTGAACGATAATTTTGGCCAGTGTTTGTGACTAAGTGGCTACTAAAAAAGACTGGACATACCCCATTTGCAATACCTTGGGTTGTCTACTTTTGCAAATGGTATGCCATCATGGGGGTAATTCTCATTCCTGGGCTACCATATGCTCTCAAAGGCAACATAACCAACCTGGCCATTTTCAATGTAACTATATCTGACCCATATATTTGACCCTGTTACTTTCAAAAGCACTATAAAACCTGTACATGGGGGGTACTGTTATACTCGGGAGACTTTGCTGAACACAAATATTAGTGTTTCAAAACAGGAAAACGTAACATCACAAATAATATATCATCAGTAAAAGTGCTGTTTGTGTGTGAAAAATGCAAAAAAAGTCACCCCCCATGTACAGGTTTTAGGGTGTCATAGAAAGTTACAGGGTAAAATATAGTGCTAGCAAATTAAATTCTCTGGACTTTCGGCCTGGGTTGGCAGGCAGGTCCCTCAAATTGCAATCAATAAAATAACTTAATTATGTAAAAATATTACATAAATACGCACGTAGAATTTAAATATATATGCATAATTATAAATTTGAAGTCTACGTGTATATTTAAATAATTATTTATGTAATTTTGTGTATGGACATATGAATATTTCGTATTATTTTTATTCATTAATATATACAAAGATATATATATATATATATATATATATATATATACATATACATATACACACACAATTTTATTCTAAGTATATTTTGATATAAATATATATTACTATCAAAATACAGTTAGCAGAAAATTTCATATAGATATAGTTTTTTAAATTTTTTAAAATTATTTTTACCTGTTTTTATTTAATTTAAATTACTTATTTGTATTTTATAATATATATATACATATATATACACAATATATAGTTATTATATATATATACATATTTGTAATTTAATTATAAGTGTATTTTTATGTACATATTAATATGAAAATACACTTAGTATGACATATTATATATATATATATATATATATATATACACATACATACACACACATATATATATAAAAAAAATAAAGGTTAATGTTAATAAATAAAAATATTATGTGTGTATGTGTGTGTATGTGTATATATATATATATATATATATATATATATACATACACACACATACACACATAATATTTTTATTTATTAACATTAACCTTTATTTTTTTTATTTTTTTTTTTTACACTAGCAGGGAGACTGCCTGTCAGCACAGACAGTCCCCCTGCAGGCAGACACATGGATACCTATTGTGACCATGTGATCGCTCTGTTGAGTGATCAAATGGCCACAGGAGTCCTAATCCGCCCTGCAGACAGTCTCCCCACACTGGGAGCACCGCCGATCGCCGCTGGGGGAACGACGGCGATCGGGTAAGTACATCTAAACATTAGGATGGTTCAGGACCGTCAGCAGTTGGCAACGCAAAATTGCAGATGACGGTCCTGAACTGTCTTCGGTCCTGAAGGGGTTAAAAGATCCCACAGTTAAGAAAACCGTTGGGACCTGGTGTTACTTAACTGAGGGGGCAACAAAGAGGAAATAGATTACTCATCATCGCCTATTATGCTGGAGAGTGGAATCTGATTGGCTGTTCTTGACACTAGGAAGATATACCTCTAATGCTATTTATTGTTATCATACCGTTTGAATGTTGTATTTTTCTTTGCTGCTGAGGGAAATAAAGAAAGAGTGCAGCATAATAGGAGCCTCCGTGTCTTAATGAAATTACACTTTTGTTCTACTTGGCTGAAATTAACTTATTATGGTTCCACAAAATATTAGTGATGTTTTGTAAAAATCCAAGGAATAAATAAATGAATGGCATGTTATGCTTTAGTTTTGGAGCATCAGTCTACATCCAATCCCCTCATGCCCATAATCACCAGCATTTCTGAGGACTTGATTACAGTAATGGAGAATCACATTACCCCAATACCAATATAACATAACTGATTTAAACATATTTTGAATTTAATAAGGACTAAAAAGGACACTATAATTTTAGTGTGAGTTGGGTTGTGGCCAGGGGCAGAGCTGTTCTGAGAAATTTTAGATGACTTACTAGTAACAATTTATGCAACTAAAATGTAATTTAGAACAAGAACAATGTATCTTATTTACAGACTAATTTCTAAATAGATTTATTGTAGTTTAGACACGATATTTAATGCTGCAGAAATTATTGTTGTGGAGCTCTGTTATACACTTAGACACACCAATAATATGGAGTTCCTAGAAAAGAGGGACATTATGATAGAAATGAGGGATAGGGGGATTTGGGCTCAAAATAGAGACTGTTCCTTCTAAATAGGGACATTTGTGAGGTATGGAATAGACCAACTCTGCCTTTCTGTTTTCTCCCACAATATTCATATTGCAGAAAGGGAAAGAGAGGTAAACAAAGTATTTCCCCCAAATACTTTACTGGACCAGTAATTAAATGTTTAAGTAAAACAATAAAAAAAAAAACATAATACTAAAACATTGGAATACAAAACTTTGCACGCTGACTTTGAATATAATCCCTTACCTAATTATTTCTGTGTGATGATTAAGAAAATTTTAATTTAAATTAGCTGTTTTGCGACATGACTAATATAAAAAACATCAGAAATACAGATATAGAAACTTTGTAGAAATAAAGCCTGTCAAAAATAATGAAATTAATTTTGGTCCACACTAAGGCTGATGTTTAAATATTTTTATAGGATAGAGTTTCTTGGAATACGAAAACTATTTTTAAGAAGTCCATCCTGTAAAGAAAAAAACTATTTAGGAAATGCACAAGTAACAGATTAAATATTGTTTCTAGATTTCAAAGTTTAATAAGCAGTTCCATATTGAATTTGTTTAAATTTGTTTCTTCTGACCATATCTAATGATTTATAAATTATCTAAAAAGATTTTCAGTTTTACAGTTTGACAATTGCACTAAAATGATTTGAAATAAATTGCTTTGCTCCATCGTAGGGTTGGTCAAAATAAGGTACAGGAAAGCAATCTTCAAAGACATTCATACCATCGGTCAGCAGATGTTAACATAAAACAAATTACAAACTGTTTTAAAATCTGGAGACAAGACCTACAGAGGAAAGACCACCTAATAGATAACTGACTAACTGCTAACTGATGCCAAAGGCATAAGAAGAGGCTACTGGCGATGGCTAACCAAAGATGTGGGTCAAAGGGATACTACTCAGCTATCCAAATTTAGATCATTTAGAGCACGGGTGCTCAACAGGTATATCCAGATCTTGTATAACTACAACTCCCAAGATGCTTTGCATGCAATTTAGAATGCCAACACATGGCAGAGCATCATGGAAGCTGTAGTTTGAAAGCATCTGGAGATCTACCTTTTGGGCACCCTTGATTTAGAGCATGTAGTTTACCCAAAAGTACAAATTACCCATCCGTGGAAGAGAGTAGTGCTTGAGAGGCTAACTATTTGTATTTATTTGGAAGGTGCTGAGAATACGTGTTTATGTGTGGGATTTTATAAGTCTATCCTAACACATTTTGGAACACAATATTTTTTTTCCCATACAAATGTCAAGTAACATAGTGTTCCAGATTAAGTTTAGAAATGGCTGTTAGATTTAAGTCCTGCACCAAAGAATACAACATGTAACATCTGTTCTTTCTCTGGCTAACAGAGAGAATAATTTCCTCATTCTTTGCTTCCTGTAAGCTTTCTGTCATAAGATTCTTATAGGCATCACATTAAGCATCTTTCATCTTCATCATGTTAAGCATCTTTCAACTGCTCAGATAAGCAGTTTAAACAGTAATGCGTTTAATGTTCAGGCTTTCTGTAATTCAGAGAAAGCAGTTCAATTGGAAGTTATGTTACCAAAAGCAGATGGTTTTCAAACTACATAAGTCAGAGGTCTGTTTGTAATGCACAAATTCAATGAGGCAAACGAAGAATCAAAGATAAAAAAGGATTAGGTGCCAGAAACATTGATACTATAGGAGAAAAATAATAAGAAATGTTTAATGTACATTTAAAAAAAAAAAAAGCATGGTGTCCTATAGAATCTCATATAGTAAGTCAAATACCCATTATCACAGGTACCTTTTTGTCAATAATTTCTAGCTAAAGGAACACTAGATTTTAATTAAAAAAGTAAAGCGCTATATACCTTTAAATTGCAACAAGTGTGCAGATCTGTCTTTAATGCAATACTTCAATGAGTTACTTAACTGGCTTTGATGAAAATTTAGGGT